CCGAGGGCGGGCAGGAATTGCTGCCGGTGGCAGAAGGCAGCAGGGAGTCGGGCTCTGTGCCTGGGCCAGAGATCTCCTGGCTGCTCTCAGCTAAGTGTCCACAGTCCATTGGTGACTTCGCCAGCAGCGAGGGTCCTGCAACCAAGAAGAGCATCTCTAAAGCCAGCTGCCGCGCTGCACCGAAGGAAATGTTTTCTAAAAACAGACTATCCGAAGTGCAAGGGCTGCCCGTGCCAGGAAAAGCCGGGACGCAGCCGTGCGAGCTGCTTTTCTACTCGCTGCTTATAGATTTGATACCACACACAGGTACAGAAACAGAAGTTAAACTCTCAGCAAACGTTGGTATTTAATTTTTTGGGGACAGTATTACACAGGGCAATTTCTATGGGCCAAAGAGCACCTGGCTCTTCTGAGAAAATCAAAAGGCAACTCTGAGCAGCTCTGCCACAGTGGTTTCCATTTACAACCAACTGAAAATCAGGCTAAATGCAATTTTTAAAACACATTATTTATATAATTTAGGTTGTGGGACTCTGTGTATATTTTCTATATATATAGAAACCTGCCATTGTTTTATTGACAGTCTTTTAAGCGATCAGTGCTCCATGATTACAGAAAGAAAAATACTATTTTCGGATGCAGCGGTGAATGGAGCCACAGAGCATGGCACCCATTTTTTGAAGGGCAAAACTTGGTCCACAATTTTAAAGGATCAGAACTCTCCTATCCTCCCATCCCTAACGATACCCAGGAATTTCTGTGCTTATCCTATAGCTTCTACGTTTTCAAATGTAAAAAGCATCTTGTAAACTGGAATTCGGCCATAGGGGGGCAAAAGAACCCTTTCAAAACAACAGCAAAAAACTTTTGAGCAAAGCTGAAAATAATGACTGCGAGGTCTTTTCCCAGCTTTCAGAAAAGACAGTCAGCTCTGCCTGTAATAAAACTCAGTCCTTTATTTCATTTGATTACACAGCAAAAAGCTATTCAATCAATATTCCCCAAAGTGCAGCACTTCTTCGCTAGAATACCTGATCTTTTGTCCTCAGTCAAGCAATCCTTGCAGTTGTTTCAGATCCTGGCTTTCACGGGTTGAGAGCTGCTGTTTCTGTGATGATCTGGCTAGACAACAAGGGCCAGAACACGTTATTAAAACTTTTAATTGCATTCAAATACAACGAATTTAAGAAATTTAAATACAATTGAGGCACATGAATGACTGGAGATCTACATTTACAAAGCTCAGGCCTTATTTTGCAAAGCATTTCAACCACGCGCTGAAGTCCCCTTGTAATTGCGTCTGATAATGGCAAAAAAACCCAAGACAATGAACCAAGTCAAAAATTTCTAGCAGAGAAGAGGGCAGGTTTCTAAATAATCCATTTTGTAATGCTCTAATTTGATGGTATGTAGAAGACATTATTATTTTGGGTGTATTATTGTGGTTAATTTGCTATTAATCTGGCTCATAGAGTTTTATCAGGTAATGTTCTCTTAACTAGTAGTACAGTTTGGACTGAAATTATTTGTGAAATACTCTGTGTTATAACTGTAAAGCCAAGGAAAAAAAAATCTCATTATTCTTTTTTATTGTGATATTTATGACCACTATAAAATAAAACTCACATTAAGTCTATATGAGCTTGTCTTGAGGGACGGCTGAAAAATGGTTCTTAAATCGGCTATTTTTTTAACTTAAAATAAAAAAGGTCCCATGTGCTTTTCTTCTTGGTATTTTCTCATTGTGTGAGGTCACAGTCAAATCTGGATGCATTTGAATGGCAAAAAAAAAAAATCATCATTATTGCTATTGCAGAGTCGAGAAAAGCACAAAAACTAGCAGGAGAGTCTGTTGTTTCAGGTTTGCCATCAGGATTTTTTGTTTTCCATCCTACTGAAATCCCATTGAAACAAACAAGTCTTCCCCGATTACTGAAAAATCTGAATTACAGAAGGATACAGACAGACTGAGTCCGTATAAATACCTGCTCATCTGCTGAAACACACGACCAAAGTTGGTTTAGGTGCAGTTTTGATTTTGCTGTGTTGGTGCATAACCAGATGTAGAACTGGAACGACATACAGTACATAGAGATGCACGTACCTAAAACCCTCATTTCCTTGGGCGCCCCTTGAAGTTGGCGTTTCTGTTTTAGGAGCTTCACATCTACATAGGATGAAATCTGGAACCTGCAGGAAAAAAATGGGAAAGTTTCGGCTGTGGAAATGAGAGATTTCACTCCGAGTTAATATCTTCCCTGTCAGATTTCCCATCAAATGCATGCAGCAAATGGCTTGGGAAAATCCACAACATGGAAACACAGGATATACTGTGGGCAGGTACGTGTGTGCAGCCAAACGCAGCGGTTCCTGGGCTATGATTGAGTTTGTTACGTGCTAGGCAGTGTCACGCTTCACACTGGTGCATCAGGATACGTCCTCTAGGTGCTGGGCTCTCTGTAAACCAAGGAGTCACCTTGGTTTCCCACCCAAAACTTGTCGTCCAAAAAAGCTGTTGCTGAAAACTGAAATAAATAAAACGCCTCTGGGCAACAGTCAGTTTCCATGTAATCGCCTTGAAAATTTTACAAGAAAGAAGTTTGTTTTTTTAAGGTATCTGCAATAATTTTTGCAAACACCCACTTGCCGCCTGGCGTGCAGAGACCTGGAAATGGGGGTGTGAAAGTAAGTCCAAGTATTTGTATGACTTCTAAAGCATTTCTATTGCAGCATTCCTAACGCGGGCAGATGCATTCGTGTTTTACATTACATTAGAAAGACATAATCGGTTTTAAATCTAATTAGTTTACGAAAGAAAACAGTGCAACGCTTGTTTCAGTCCTACATTCTGTGCGAATGAAACGGCGATGAAGGCAGATGGATAAGGAAAAGATCGAAAACGCCCGAGCAGAGCACACAACCCGAAAAGAAACAGGTGGAAACCTTAGATAAACTTGTTCGCAGCGTTTTCAGTTGTTCCAGGGGAAAGAACAACAGACCGAATCTGGATTATCTCGCTTCGTTTTTAAAAAGACCGTGCCCTTTGCGTAACTCTGGTAACCGTTAACGAAAATACTTTCTCTGGAGCCGCGAAACAGGAACGTGCCCGTTCGGGTGCGAAGGCGGCA